ATATATATATATATATATATTCAGACGTTGAATCTATAAATGATAATTAACTATCGCAAGCATTTAATTTCCAATCTGTTGCGTTTATATTACGATTGAATTTGAGAAGACAATCCTTTTTATATATATAAATAAGCATGGAGATTACTATGCGCTACTCCGATCCGTGTATGTCGTAAATAAGATTCGTAACACGGTTGGTCCCTATTACTTTTTACGATTCTCTCTCTCTGGATAATCTCTCGAAACAGTGAAAGATAGAGAGAGAGAGAGAGAGAGAAAGGAAAAAAAAAATAACGAAAGTAGGAAACACGAAGATCGAAGATTCTATCGCTGAAAGTTTCTCCTTTGCTTTTCGTTCCACTTATGGTCCCAGAGATTATTCTCGGCCGACTTCGAAAGTGGCTAGAAGTTTTTTTACGAGCCAGCCAAGTCATTCACTCCGCGACATTTCTCTCCTTCCCTTACATTTATGCTCGATGTTTTCTAATTCCTCTACCGGTTGTAAATTGCATTTTGTTAATTAATCGATCGAACGACGGTGAAATATCATCGCGAACGGCCGTTTCGGAATCGTTTCCCCGGCCGTTTTCGTTCGGCCGGTCATTTGATTTGTTACGGGGTTATGCGGTGATAAAAAGATGGAGAGTATCGCGTTTTAATGATATCGGCCGAGATTTATGCCCGATGATCGAGCAACAATGTAAACGGCGGCCTCTCTCTCTCTCTCTCTTCGTGCCGCGGAATAATTCAAGATACTATCTGCGAAATTTATTTTCATTTTCTGTGTCGCAAAGGAACTGGGTGGAGTTAAAACCGAGGGAGGGGATATATGTATATAAGTAACAGTCGAATTAAAATACGATCAATTTTTTGAATTTTGGCAAGTTGGATATATTTTTTTTTTTTTTATTATTTCGAAATCCGCTTATCATGAAGCAATGGTTGAATAGCCTATGGTTTTTATAGAGGAGATAAAATTTGTCGAGTGACTTTTACGAGTGAAATTACCGGTAAATTTGCAATTTTATCACGTTTAATTCTCTTCTCCGATGCGAAAGATTCTTCTCGAATTTGATATTTGACGAGCTAATGCTCGTCGATGATTCAATTTTATGTTATTGTTAAGTGCGCTAAAGATTAATGAGGATATTAGAATAGTTGGGATATTTGCCGAGATTTCCTTCCATACTTGTAATAAAATTTAATGGAAACATTAATTTTGAGAAAAAGAAAAAAATTACATACGAAATCTCTTTAATCTGCAACGAAAATGTATATAATAGTTGATGAAGAAGAAATTGCTTCGATTAAATGTGTGTTAGAATCGATTGACGAGGGAGGGAAAAAAAAGTCGTAAAGATCCATTTGGAAAAAAGTTATGCAATTGCATAATCACGCCAAGGTAATAACGCAAAATATAATTTCACATCGAACTAAAGAATCATTAGATTCGACGACTTACACGACGTTGCAAGATGAAATATATATTTTTCACGATAATTTTCTCTCTATTCCCCCCGATTGCTTCGTCGAAAGGAACCTCCACCCCATCGTTTGTACTCTTTTTTCTTTTTTTTTAATTCTTTCGAACGAGATAGCGGCACGACGGATTTCCGGTATATTTATGATAAAAAATTCCTCACCTGTGCTCCGTTGAGTGGTCTTCGTCAAGCCCGTCCTTTTAATGATTTCCGAGAAGAAGAGCGCTTCAGAGTATCGTCTCGAGGACCCCGGTGGCTCGACGGTGTAACATCATCGCGGCATTTAATTATTTCGATTTTTCGCATTCCTCGCCATTTTTCCTCCCCTCCCTTTGTCTCACGCATCTCTCATCATCGATTCACCTTTCGTCGAAATAGGAAAAAAGGAAACAAACGAACGCGCTTGATAAAAATCAATTATCCCTCACACATCCCCCTCCTCCAATAATCTCGCGTATCTTTGCAATTTATCGCGAGATCAGCCGACCGAAAGAAAGAAGAAATCATCGCCAAAGTTATTATAAGCAAGGACAAGATCTCTCCGATTTATATCGATTTTCGTGTCAGGATTAAATTGCCTGTGACGGGAATACGAACGAAATTAATAATTTAATAGGATGTTAACAAGAATTAATTAATTAATTAATTTTATCTAAGTAAACTTTCAATCAGACCTCGTACGAGAGAGAGAGAGGAGCCGGACTTCCGTTGTTATTACGCGCGTAACGTAACACGAGCCGGAAGCGACGCGGCACCGTGTTTTCTTTCGTTTTACGCGCGAGATAAATTCGCGCATCCTTGATGTACCTTTGTTTTTGCCCGTGATCGCGATTTCCAATCTCCTTTATCCCGGATTTTCGAGCCTCTTCCACCTTTTCGAAGGGAATAATATCGTCGAAAGGGAAACTGTCCGCGGAAGAGGAAGACCCTCGACTCGAAAAAGTGTCGAGTGTCTCTCGCCGCGTCCAAATCTTTCGATCCGCTCCCTTTGATCCATCGTCCACTCTCGATCATCTCTAGCCCTCCTCCTCCCCCGTCTCTTTTTAATTTACTCTGATTTCCCTCTCTTTTCCTCTTTCACGAAGAGAAGAGTCCACTTGTCGCGGGGTAGCGCCTGCTAAACCGATATCTTTCACCGTCACGAATTCTTTGAAGTGTATCGACTCGACTCGACCCACGGTGTGTCGCTGCGGCTTTTAATTACGCGCCAATTAATTAACACACCGTTCCCGCCGTTTCTCTTTTCACCCACCCCGCTCTTTCTCTCTCTCTCTCTTTCTCTACTTACCTTCTCTCCCTCTCTCTCTCTCTCTCTCTTTGCTCCTTTTTTTTCCCCCCCCCTTATTTTGCCGGACGTAGCCACGCGGAGCCATTAGAGGCTACGACCGCGCGCGCCACCCTTTCCCTCGCCACCGAATTATCTCGTTAAGAAATTAACCGCGAATTAACGCTGTTTTACCGCATAATTAGATGACCTTTAAAGATTGCCCCTTAATCCTCCGCGACATTACCCTCTCTCTCCTCCGTGTTTGCTTGTAAACAATCTTTCCGCGATCATCTCGTGTCCAACTCTTTGCTGGGCAAAAATTCGACGTTCGATTTTAAACTTGTGAAAAGTTGTAAAAAAAAAAAAAGAAGAAGAAGAAAAGTCTTGTCTCTCAGAGACAAGAATTCGAAGGGCGAGGGGTCTGATACTAGGGATCGACGAGATCCGTTAGATCTTCTCTGTCGCCAAGGAGTTAGCAGATATCTAGGTGCCGGGTTAGATTGAGGTTGATTGGGTAACCGCTAAGTATATCGAGCTTAGAGCACTTGAGGAACCTTCGTGCAAGGGGTGCGATGCTTGTTTGCTCGATGAGGCTGGCTACTAAGGCGTTCAAGGCGGATCCTACAGGTGACTCGAATCGAACGAATGGAAGAATAATAATTGATGATCAGGCGTCTCTCTGTACCGTCGACGAGGAAAAATATGGGGTCGATTATCGGGGAGGTGTAGTTGAGATTAGTCTTCCCTCTCTTCGAGTTCGGTAGATACTGTTACTGCCAAGGGCCAAGGACTGGTTTTCCTTGCGCCGGAATCTTATACTGTCGCATTGTGCGAGAGCGGCTTTAGCCGACGCGTGACAAATCCCGGTGAGCACGCGTAATACGCATGTCGAATACACATGAACCGCTCTTAAAGGGCTCGTATCCACGCCTCCGGTGTTCCGGTACAAGATTACTTATCGGCCAGGACAGGATACTCTACTTTAAAGAAGCCACCTTACCCTCGCTCTTATTCGTGATTATCGACTGACGAACCACTCTTCGTTTATTTCTGTTTCAATCTTGCGAAATTCCTCTTCCCTCTTGGATTCCAAGATTTTTCGATGGATTAAAAAGAAGATCTTTGCTTACGCGACGATCTTCCAAGTCTTTTCTAAGATCTAAGATTTCTGAAATTCTGTTTACCACGGAAGAGGAGGATGCGATTAAGTTATGATTTCTCGATCCATTTCCATCTGTATCTATATTTGTCTTCGCTTGCACGATAAGTTTCGAAGAAAGGGGGATGATACCTCTTCTCTCGCAATCAGAGAATCTTTAGACGCGGAATGTCTGTCGATTGTGAGAGGATAGCAAGCGGAAGGTAGTTTTTAATAGCCTCCAGTGTGAACATCATCGAACGGTGAGTACGATTAACTCGCGATGAACCTGCGTGTACCTCGGTTGCAGGTCTCTGGGAGTGAGTTCTCAGCCTCCTGAACGTTCCTCGAGCTACCTCTGTCTTCCTATCGTTCCTTCGCGACGACGTCTCTGTTGGTTGCACACGGTCGTATTCCCTTCCTCCCCGTAACTCCTCTCTCTCTCTCTCT